ACTTAATTTTACATCTTTACGTTTATTAATTCTCTATTAAAATTTACAATTAAAAATTACAAATTTTAATTTGTCAAAAATATTAGGTATAAATTCTTATTTAATTTTAGTCGGTGGCAATCGACAACCGAAATCCCGACGTTCGAAATCGCGGCTGGCTCAAAATCTTGACGTTCGAAATCCCGACTACCATAATCCTGACAATCAAAATCCCGACAGTGTGTTTTATTATACATTTCTACAATAACATTTTTATGGTAGTCGGGATTTCGATATAGTCGGGATTATGGTAATCGGGATTTTGACATAGTCGGGATTTCGATAGACGGGATTTCAATAGACGGTCTTTCGGTTGTTGGGATTGCGATATAGACCCATTTTTAGTATATACAACAATAAGTTTTCAATTTACGAATCAATGTTTAATTTACGAATTACATTATTACTAATTTGTCTTATTAGATAATACAGAAAATAATTATGTTTTTACGAAGTTGAGTGAAGTTTGTTGGAACAAGTTATAATCTGTTAATATTTCTTGATTAAAAGATAAAAATTATGATCACATGGAATTGATTGATTATTGCATAAATTTATTATGAGTTATAGATTGTAATTGATTAGTAACTTGAAGACTGGTTATCCTTCTTCAATCTATGATAGATAAACAAATGGTTTGTTGCGTAATGGGAATCGTCGAAGGAGAAAATGAGAATCGAGCCGAGAGGAGGAAAAGGTGGAACTGCTGAAACGCGTGCCATAACCGTTCTCGTTGTTATAAAACCGACTCTTGTCGGCCTTGCCGAGTCTTGAACTTAACAATATTAAATATTTAAGGCAATGTCATGAAGGCTACGACGCGCCCACGAGCCAACTTTCATTGATAACCGCATTCTCGATTAATAATGGCCATTACAAGAATTCCTGTTTTTCATTCTCCTCCTCCTCCTTCTTCGTCTTCATCTTCTGCTGCTTTTGCTCATCGGAATGAAAAACCTGTATTCCGTCTGTGATTAAATCGATTGCCAACTGATACTCATGGTAGTCCTAAAGGGTCCATGGTCTTTTAAAAACCAAACAAGTTTTACTTCAATACAAACAAGTTGTACAAATCCAATCCTTAATTACAACAAAACTCTAGAATCTATAACGTGAATGGTAATGAAAAGTATTAGATTTCATAGTTTATAGCTTATTGATGCAACGATTATTTATATAAAGACTGCATAAATATGGGAGATCTTCATACATATTTATTGACAAGTTTCGAATTGCGTAGATAAAGTTACTCGCTCGCTATGAACTCATTGTTTACTTCATAGGTCAAAAACTATTTATAAACATACGCTTCGGAATTCCGAACCACTGTTAACTCACATGTGAAATGTTTATATTCTAATTGTTTCAACAAATACTGTTTGTCGGCAAATTATAACACGCAATGCGACAAATTTACAAAGGAATGATGAACATTGTAATTATAAAGATAACTAACATGGAAATCATGTAATTTGTGTGATTTTGAACTATTTCTTTTAATCAAGTTTAGATAAATTGTAATTTGTATATTAACAATTTAATTATGACCTTTGTAGTGCTTTTATTTTATATTTTTTTTACTGAATTCATTGTCAATCAAGTAATTCTTTCGATATCTTAGTATGAGTTTGATAGATGTTAGAATTTTGTAATTCATTATATGAAATATGTGTATAATCATTGCAGTTTGCAAATGAAAGTAAAGAAGTATTGTCTTGTGGATTGGCCCAGATTTAAACGCCAAACCCGGCTGCTCTATTATTTGCGTCGTCGCTCTTCTATACTTGATTGCTGTCCAGTCTGAAGCATGGAAATGAATCGAAGGCAAATGAACGATACAAATGCGTATCGAAAAATATTCGCAATGGGAACACCTTGAACTAAAAACACGGACGGCATTCGCAATTACACATATCGTTTGTTATTTTCCACGGTGAATCGGAATCACATGATGATGATGGATGATTATGCTAATGGTACTATGTACAAAGCACGCATGTGTTCAAGACAGTAGCAGGAGATAAGAATTATATAGTTCTTGGGATAATCATAATATTGATTGTAATAACACTAACAAGATTATAAAGTTACATAATCAATTAGAACTTTAAACCAGGAATTAAAAAAAATCTTCAAGGATAAAATTAAAGTATAAATTAAATGAGAAACAAATGAATCAATTAATTTAATTAAAATATTTCGTAATTTTGAAAAAAATTATTACCAAATTTTCAGAAGCGAATAATTTGATTTAATTAGATTTTAGACTTTATGAAAAGAAAATCTACGAAAAACTTGTTTTTCTTCAAGTTTACTTTAACATAAATTAGCAAAAATAAATGTAATTTCACATGGTTCATAACAAATTTATTTTTAATGATTATTACCCTGATTAAATCTTAGTGCAGTAGAGAATAACAAATTTAGTTAACTCAATGCAATTTGTAAGTAAAAATAGTTGAAATTTAACTAAATTTATTTCAGTTTAATTGAGAAATTTTAGTCAATATTATACGCAAATTAAGTGCAATTAATTTTAGGCTTTCCGGGATAATAAAATCTTGTTATTTTGGTCAAGGACGATTCATTGAAGGTATTCAGATTAAAATCTGTATTGACAAAAAAATTAATTACTGATAAACTAATTAGAACAGATTTTCAACAAACTTAATTATTCCTTTCCATCAATATTTCTACATAACATTGGAACTTGATACATGCTTTTTTTATTTAATTTAATTGGGGTTTTCCCCTTCTATTCAGATGGTAATGATTTGATTGTAGCGTGCTTGATTGCAAATATCTCGTAATTGCACTCCAATAATTCCAGCATTTAATGCAAAAAAAAATAATATTGCCGGGATTGCACAACGCCTCTTTCTCGATGCATAGGTTGAATGTTGGTATATAAAGGAGAAACACGACGCAATAGAGATTTTGAAATTCACGCAGCAGAAACGGTGGAAGTTATCGTTTTATTAGAGGAATATTTAAAAAAAAAATTGCAACATTGTTTACATTGATAGTTACATAGAATTATCTTATATTATTTTTTTCTCGATTGGATTCGAATCGTTAATGGAATTGTATGATATTAGTTTTGATGATGTTTAATACTAGATCAGTTTATTTATAAACAAATATAATTGCCATGTCTCTATTTTAGGTAAATTATTGTTTAATTATATGAATTATTTTGTTTAACTTAAGATAGTTAAGCAACGTATTTGCACTTGAATTGGTGATATGAATATTCTCATTTTGTAGGAAAATACTAGACTAAAATAGAGATTGATTACTATTACAAAGTATAAATATTTATATGAAATTTTATAATAAAAAGATCGTTTAATAAACATTAATTACAATAGCAGCTAACTCTATAAAGATGTCTTAATTACTGTTTTTCCTGCTTAAAGACAATGAATATAATCGCTGCATTTAAGTGAATAAAAAAAGTCTGCAGCGTGTCGTAATTTATTGTATCAAAAAAAATAAAATGCGGTTGTCTGCGGAGATTTCTTAATTGTTGTCCTCGGATCTCGTAAACAACCGAAAATTATAAATAATTCATTGAGACGAAAGCGCCGGAGAAAAATAATCGATAAATAATGAATTTCCTCGATAAAATTCGCGTGCATTCCGCGAATCAATTACTCCTCTTCGCGATTTATTAACTCTGCGAAAACGACGAGATATACATCTCGAAACTGAGCGTGAATCTTTCGTATAAATTAGATTTTTTTTCTTTAAAAAACTTTTGTTTTCGTTGATTTGCATACTAATTATACATTGTTGTTTGTTCGTTTATTTTTATTGCGTGTTGAAATTAATCATGAAACATTATGAATAAAATGGTCAAGCATTTCCATATTCGCATGAATTGAAAAAGATTAACTTAATACAACGAATCAATATTTGCAATATAAATCTCAAATCGTCACTTTTTTAAACGAGTCATCACTGGTGATGAAAATGGATTGTGTACAATAACATCAATCGAAAACGATCATGATCCAAACGTGATGAACCAGCACAAACTATATTGAAAGCAAAATTGGATCAATAATTTTAATGACTGAAATATAAAGTTGCCAGAAAGATGACAAAAAGTCATTGGACAAAATGTTCATTTTTTTGTATAGAAACATAATCGATTTTAGTTGCTTTTGGTAAACATAGGGTGAAATATGTAAAGAAGACAATCATTATATAATTATTCATTAATCTGACGTATTTTGATGCATTTCTAAAGCAACTAATATTTTCAGTAGATTTATCATTTCTGCCGTATTCCTAGAATTTGTTAGAGCGTTTCTTCTTTTTGATCAAATTGTAATTTGTCAAGCGACTTGACAAAATACTAAAGAAACAAGTTGTGGTTTTGGTAGATTTGTCTTTGAATAAATGAAAGTCTATTGAACCTCTCTCGTTTATTTATTTCTGTCGTTGAATAACAAAACAAGTAATTATTGCGTAATGCCAATAGGATCCAATTATGATGGCGTTTCGCTTTGATGAAATTTTAATAAATAGTAATTAAGGCGGATAATCTGTGTTTTTTTTCTTCTTCTTTTGTTTCGACGTTTGCTTGTTTAATGTGTGTCATTGTGTGTTTGTTTCTCCTTTTGTTATTGAAGCCTGATTGATGGCCTCAGGAAATACGGAGTTTCTTAATGAAACGATCGCCCTTCGTGTCGATTTCATTTTGCATATTTACGTAAATAATAAGTCTGTAATTGGATCCTTGTGGAATTGTACTGGATGCAAATTCGCGTTCCCAGGACGTTCGAAGTGCTAGAGAGAATCCAATTAGCTTAGCTTCACATTGCTCAAATAGGATGTTGCATCATCGTCAGTTCCTTGTGTATTTAACACAAATAATTAGGCGAAAATGGTTTTAGCTAATTTAATTGATTTGAATGTGATTATTTGGTGTTAATTGCTGTTGTTGTTTTCAGATGGAGAGGAAGTGTCTACAAATTGGTGTGGAGGGAGCTTCTAGCCTACTTATTCCTGTATTATTCAATAAATCTGGCCTACAGATTCGCACTAAATGACGAACAGAAACGGTGAGTCCTTCCCACGACCATACTGAGCGGATAACTAAAATCCTTGTTCACGTTTTGCTTCCAGGATATTCGAAAAAATACGACTGTACTTCAGCCAGCAGAGCGAGACGATCCCAATGTCGTTCGTGATGGGTTTCTACGTATCTTTGGTGGTGAAGCGATGGTGGGAACAGTACAAGCTTCTACCTTGGCCAGATACACTTGCCCTCTTCCTGAACGCCGCCATCCCCGGAGCCGTAAGTACTTGATTTAAAACTGTTTTGATATTCAAGTAATTCCTTTAGCCTTCCCACCGACGAATTAATTAATTAATTAAACGAATCACCGTCTCTTTGTTCGGGTTAATTAAACGTGCGGTTTCTTCAACGTCGCAATTAATACAACAGCAAAACTCTTTTAATCTCAATACGGTTTGGAAACGCCGAATGCGAAAACGCTGCAGATAAATTCATTATGTGTCAAGGGTTCGTGCGCTGGACGGCCTTAGAGTCTCCATGTTTAAACTCTCACGTCCTTTCAACCAGAAGGAAAAATCGATCGATTGAATTCTAGACGCATCTCAAATCAATTCGCTTTATATTTAGATAAATAAAAAATAAACATAACTAGTTTACAAGACGGTAGCTTTCCAGTTTCAATTATCATACGCAAGAAAGAGAAACCCAGTCTAGGTGTTTCCTTCTATTGTTTTGCATATGCATTTATTTATAGGATAACAGTAGTAGCATTATATAAGCAATTATTTTCCATTATTTTCAAGAAATTGATTATCTTGATGTTTTTGTAAAAAAAAAAACGTTTAAAACGTTTCCACTAACGTCATGTTATAATTGTTTCAATTTGTGATTTAACTACTTTGACATAGTTTCCAGTTAATGCTTGTATTTTTATAAACTAAAATTCGTTCATCCTATTTCATTTTGATCTTTAAAATTATTGTTAAAAAAATATATTTTCAACAATTTGTTTTTTCAATTTAATTCTAACAAATAAGAAATGTTGAAATATTATTTTTTTTTACAAATGTTGTGTATTTTAGCAAATTATTATATTTTTTTGTTATGGAATTAAGTTAAAACAGGATTCTGGAAATGTTGACTTAATTAACGTTAATTTCTGTGTCAATAATTGTATAATACAATTTCGTTCTTTAATTAAGTTAAAATTGAAATATTGAAAATTTGTTAGTACAACTTAATAAATGTTAATTACTGTGTCAACAATTATATAATACAATTTTGTTATTAAATTAAGTCAAAAAAGGAATTTTTTTTAGTATAATTTCATAAACGTTGATATTTTGCAAAAATTGTAATACAAAGTTTGTTAATGTTTTAAAGCGAAAATTAGAATCTTGAAAACTTAAAAATTTGTTACTACATCTTCATAAATTAATTTACAATAATTTAAATTTCTTAATACTTGATGAACTAGAATTTCTTTAAATAAAGATTAGAATAATTTCCATAAAAATAAAATTATAAATTGTATGTTTTTTCTGTTTAGGATGAGCGACAAAGACTGATGCGAAGAACGATAGTGAGATTTGCTGTATTATCTTACGTAATAACGCTGCAGAGGGTGTCCCTTCGCGTGAAGAAACGTTTTCCCACGTGGCAGCACGTCGTGGATTCAGGTTGGTACCATTCCTGCTTATATACTTAGTAAACCTCCTGTGCTCTTCTTTACGCGTTGCATTAGAATATGGTTTTAGTAGTGATTGAGGAAGGGAGAGAAAAAGAATCGATAGAAAACACAGGCTAATGTCTCATTCTTCGGAGGTAGAATCGAAACGAAATCAGAAAAAAAAATATATGTTAGAAAGTCTGTATCGTTGGATATGCTGCTGGTATCTTTGGAAAGCGAGCTGGACGTGATTGGTCTGCAATCTGAAAGAGGCGCCAATCGAAGGCGGCGCGACGTCGCCTAAGATATGTATAATCATTACAGATTACAGACAAAAACATTTCAAAGTAGTTAAGTTCTGTAATAAAACTACATTGTACAAACGAACACAAGATATGCAGATATCCAAAAAAGTAGTAAGTTTTCTTTAAGACTTTTAAACGTACTTGAAGTTCCTATTACTAAATGCAAGAAATTGATAAAAATACATTATATAATTAAATAAATACATAAATAAGAAAATCTTTAATAAATAAGAAAAAAAAAATATGATTGCACAAAATCTAGAATGAAAAAAATTATAGAAATTTGTTCTAGTTTTGGTTTATATCTGAAAAGTATAGTTAACATATTTTTTTCTTCGCAATTATGAAATGGAAAGTGTGCACTAAACGATGGTATCCTGTGCAGTCGAGAGTGTGGGCATATTTTTTTTGGTATATATTTTTTTTTTAATTTATAATTTGTTTAGCGATTTGCATATGCATTATTTAATTGGGCTTCGATTAAATAATAGAGAACGAAGTTTCGCGGTGGAAATTACAAAATTTCGCATCTAATTATTGCTACATTCGCTTTTACTTCCACGAAAATATTATTGGTTCGTGTTTATGGAAAGAAGGCGCCAATTCCTAAGAATTGTTGTTATTATTGGAAATATAGTGTTGATTAAATTTTTAGATAATTGTGGTTTAATGTGCAAGATAAATATTTCAATTTATTACTATTTTTTTTTATGTATTTTATATGAAAAATATTAATATAATTAACAACAATTTGTCCAAAGAATTAATGATTTTGTTCCAAATAATTCAGTTTTTCAAAGAATCTAATTTCTTCCAATTTTTTTTTTTAAATAATTTAATGAAAAAAATAAAAGATATTTTAAATCTACATTCAAATAGAGGAAAATAATGAACGTTATAAAGAAAATGTAATGAATTAGTAAAGAAAAAGCAAGTATTCAGGAAAGGTGTTAAGTGTTATCTGGAAGTGCATACAAAGGAAGGCGATTAAAACAGAAACAATGTTGCTACTTCCATTTTTTGTTATTTCTTCTTCTAATTCTCTCGGAACAAAACAATCAATTACACTGCGGATATTTAGTGCACGCAATTGTTCCACTTGCATAATGTGTGTGGATTGTGTGAGAGGTTTTCCTTATCGACGCGCCTGTATTTCAATCGAAATGCTTGTGGAGCAAAGCAATTAGCGATATCAGTCTATGGGTTAATTACTAATTAACGATTTCTGTGAGTCAAAAGCGAAGTGAAACAACAAAACCGAAGCAATCAAATCAAATTACACCAAAAAGAAAAAAAAGAGAAGAGAGTAGAAGCGTAAACTGAAAATAGGAACGTGCGATGACTGACCAATTGGAAATTACAGACCGAGCCCAACCGGAATTACGGTACACTTCTCTCTGCTCTTCAGCTTCGATCCGGATGTTAGGGCTGGCTTTTGAATTGCGCCGACACAATTTCATTTCGCACAAGCATAGTTACATAGTAGGGAAGGTGAAACGTGTATAGAGTTTTTCATTTTTGTGATTTTTCTATATGAAATGGAAGCACGAAAGCGAAAGCACGAAACCGAATCTAATTTGATTTGTTAAGTAATTGCAAAAAAAAAATGTGTATGTGAAAATTTAATAAATATACGTTTGCATCCTCTTTGTTAAGCATGTTCGAGCATCGTTGTTGCATTCTCGGAACGCAATGTTTCAAGGTACATGGGTATCTATGTTTGAAAGTGAAAGAGTGTTATAATAATCAAAGAAAATAATTAACATCGAATTTGCAATTAGTAGCGTAATTATAATGAGAAATTAAAATATTAATATTATTAGGTTGAATAGATCAAATTGAATCAGGTTAGGTCAGTGGTTTCCAAACTTGAAGTTACTACGCCTCCCTCAAAAG